ATGATACCTATAGCTACAGAATCCCAAGTATTTGCTCCGTCTTTGCTGCTGAAGCTGCTGCCACCCTCTTGGCACTGCGACTGCTTTCCACTCGTTCTACGAGGAAGTATTGCATATACTCCAACAAATATGAGTGTTTTGAGGCAGTTGGAAAATTTTAAGTGATACTCATCCGATTTTATGTTTCATTAATAACTTGTTGATTAAACTACACAAAAATAGATTTCATATTTTATTTTGTTGGGTACCGAGTCACCTCGGTATCCCAGGGAACGACATGGCTGCACGATCTGCTACCCCTGTTTTAAACTATATCTGTACCTCTCTCGGACACAAAAACTTATCTTCGACAGTTCATCTTTCCGTTTTTTCTTCTGAATGCAACGCTATTTTGCTTGCTCTTCAGTTTATTTCTAGGCAACTGTACAAAAAATGGTTGATTTTCTCTGATTCTAAAAGTTGCATCGATGCACTTAAGAATCTTGACAATAAACCTCACTCTATCATACATCATATAATAAATACATATTTAAGCCTCAGTAACAATAGCTTTGAAATAATATTTGTTTGGATCCCGGGACATGTAGGCATTCCAGGTAATGAAAAAGCTGATTCAATAGCCAAGTCAACACACAATCTTACAAATAAACCACACTGTTTACCTGACATTCGAAATTTAGTGGCAGACACTCTTACCCAACTCAGACAGACCAACTGGAATAATGAAATAAACAACAAATTACATGAGATCAAATCAGATATTAAACCATTTGCACCACTGACTAACTACAACAGAAAAACCCAGGTACTTATCAACAGACTACGGATTGGGCACACCCGCTTGACACACAAATATTTAATTTTAAATGAAGCACCTCCACAATGCAATTTTTGCAAAGAGTCTCTTACAGTAAAACATTTTCTGACCCAGTGTATGAAATTTAAATCTAAAAGACGACAGTACTTTAACTGTGACTTTCCGACTTTATCATTTTTACTTGGAGACACACCTCATCCTAATTTAATACTGTACATCAAACATATCGGATTTTACAATTTGATTTAGTTCTAGATATAACCTGGTTGACAAATTTTAAATTAGTTATTAGTTTTAATTTTGAACAAGTTGCTCATTTCAGCCTAATTGTTCTGATTTTAACAAAGCTACAGTAATTTTCACCTAGGTTTGGGCGCGGTATAGCCAAACCATGGCTCTTGCGCCAAAAATTTACATCAATCAATAAATCGACAGTTCATCACATCTTCTTGGCAACAACAATGGGATCTTAAAATTTATAGCAAATTTGCACTCAGTAAAAGCAGACTTTAGCCCTTATCCTGTATTGAGCCTGCGGCATGCAGATGTAAAGTTAAACCGTCTCCGAATCGGCCGATTCTAGGAAAAAAAAGTACGGGAAAAGGGCACCTGTGTAGGGAAAATTCTGTAGGGGAAAATATTTGAAATGAGAAGATTAGATTGAAGCGCTTTTTGCTGTTCCGTGCATGTTTTTTTTTTTTTCTTGTCGCGCGTTTTCAACTTATTAAAAAGAACCAAATATTTTCACCTCCAATCACGAATAAACATCCAACACATAAATCCTCCCAACTTCCCCGATTGGCTACTTTAAGCCTCACATTAGCAACTTCTTCACAAAATATGATTTAAAATAGATAATAACACATTTTTCAATTAAAAAAATTACAAAAAAAGGTAAAACATTATTGAAAAATTTAAATAGTATCTTCCCGCTTTAAAAGATAATCAAAGAAGAATAAATAAATGAAATTAAAATTTAAAAAAACAGTGTAATACAACCAGCCCATAAGTCCCCCCCCCCTTACCCTTCTCCTTACCTCAAAGATCTAATCTGAATTATTACAGATAAAAAGAATATTCATTGAAACAGCGAGAAGCATTCATGCTGCCCAGAAAGCGAGAGGGGAAATATCCCTACAGATTTTCCCTATGGAGGTACCTTTTTTACCGGAACCTTTTTTTCCGTCTACCGAATCGACCATACACGGCTGACCCACCTACATTTGTTGTTTGGGGAGCCCCCTCCCCAATGCAACCGTTGTAAAGTTTTACTCTCTATGCATCACATTTTAATTATTGGCCAATGTTATAACCTCCATCGTCTTACTTTTTTCGGTAGTTCTAATTTAACTCTGACGGATTTGTTGTTAGGCTATTCCTATCATCCTAACATTTTTGCGTTTCTACGCGCAATTGGTCTTTTATACTGTATATGACTGTTTTATCCTATTTACAATTTTATCCGTTTTTATTCATCTTTAGATGCAACTGTTTTATGATGTTTTACTGTACATAAATTTTACCTGGTTTTACTCACTTTTTGACACGTCTATTTCATTGTATTCGGTTTTATAAATTCCATGTGATTTTAGTAAGGTAAATACATATTACAAATTTTCTAAGATGTATCTTAAAACAGTTTGTTTGGCGCAGCATGTCCTTCTGTTGACTTTGTGCCATTAAACCCTACATTACATTCAATTCAATTGAACTTGAAAGGTAGTAACACAGTGAAATATACATTATAATTTATGCTAACATTAAACTTATAATATATATCATTTAATATTTAACATTTCATTTTTATTCTAAGCAGAGCGCGATGACAAGGACGCAAAACTGAAAAATACACGCACAAAATAACTTAAATATTAATTTATTATTAAGTTCGAGATTACCAGTCAAACTATTCAAATGGCTCATCAAGCAGTCGAATTTCGTCCACAATTCACACTTAAGTTCTTTCTCAAGCAACCACTCTATCTTTGAAGTACAGGTAATTTAAAATTTTAAGTGTCGCACCCAAACACTTAAGTCACTAGATATGCAGGCGCTAACGGTTATTGAAGGGAAAACTTCAAAATTTAATTTTCCAAAATAAAGGTCTTTTTCATCTGAAAGTACAATCCAATTTTTTGGAAGTTTCAATCTAAAATTAGATTTGAAATTCTCAAAGCCATTGATTTTGTCCTTCGCCATCCATTGATCAAATACAACTTCATTTGTTCATTCTCTCTTTGTTCGGGAGTTTTTCTTTTTTGAGGCACTGATGTGGTAAAATAGGCAGGAAGATTTAGAAATATAGAGGGAAAAGCTCCTGGTAGTAATACTGGACACTTCTTTGGTAGCATTAATAATGTTCCATCTGGTCTAGTTGCCTGATTTCAATAAAACGTTCTTCAAAATGTTTGATACAGACAACACTATTTTTTGTTGCGGTGTAACCTTCTCTGTGTATACTATTCTGCCACTTTAAATTTAAGTCTGCATCCTTTGGGAAGTGGAATACTGTAGTATACTGCTTATCTCTATAATTTGAACGGCATTTCGTGACCCAACATGTGCAAGGCATCTAAGAAGGAAAAAAAATTTCAAATATTCAAAATTACAGTTTATAGCATTTGAATTAAATTACACTCAATACACAAAAACTGTTGATTTCCAAGTTACAAAAGATGTGAGAATTATTTAAAATATTTGTACGCGAATACACACCGGTTCATTAGCTAAATTACATATAAGCAGACTCGTATAAAACCAAAAGCTTTCTGCGCACACAGATGTTGGGCCAAATACTTCCTGCATCATGGTGCCAAACAAAAAATTTTGAAGCTTAATAATACTTACGAAAGCACTATTTATTGTATTAACACAAAGTACTATTTCAGACATCAATTGAAAATTTTTAAAAAAAATTGAAAGCTATTAATTAATGAAAGGAATTGATGAATTCTAATGGAAATGAAAACACAATATATTTCATTACTGATTGTCAGCATGGACTTAACCCGGCAGGAATCGCGCCTCACGTACGAACTCAAAAACACGTGTGGGCTTCTTATGGACCTCACAAACTTTAATTACTTTTTAACCTTTTTGCATAGTAATATTTGAAAACAAAATGGTTATAATTATAAAATTTAAATTATATGAAAGTTATTAACACATGTAATCATTAAAATACTCACAATAATCCAAAAAAAATAGCATATTTATTATACATAACTTGCTCTATATTTTCTTCTTTATTCATTCCCTACTCTTTTTTCATGCAGTTTTGCTATTTTCTAATAGGGTGACTTTTTTTACCCAAAATGTCATTTTTAGACTTTTATAGTTACAACGGTTTAGTTTCAAAGCGACGACATATTACCGTATTAATGTTGCTAATTGAATTATTATATGTACAGTAACTTTTTTTTCTAGGTCAAATAAAGTTATAAGTTAGCAAATATCACAGATGTTATTTAGAAAAATTTATTCCTTTCTAGTTAAATTTAAACAATGGCTAGCGTTTAACCAATCACAATTTTTCGCTCATCATTTTTATATACTTAAATGAGCAAAAAAATAATAAAACAGAAAATTAAACCTTTCTTCTTTTTTTTTAAATGAAACAATTTCACAACTATAAATAATAAAGGAGCAAAACAAGGATACAAAGACTAATGTGGTTTCTGTAATGTTTCAATTTTAACTAATTCTTATATATTCATTTAAAATGAGTTTGTGTGTAAATATATGTGAATGGTACTTGTGCTGACCACCTCTGGTTTAAAAAAGTAACTTTACTTTTCATATGTCAATCATAGCACACACGAATAATTAAGTGTCAAAAGTCACATTTCTCTATAACGATATAACCTTAAATTTTACATTACATTATGGGAGAGTACCAATTTTATTTTAAATTATGCTTGATGAAATCTTGAAATTTAAAGAATAAGAATACTGTGTATATTAAATAAACAATTATTTTTGAAAAATTTACCACGTTAAAAAAAAATAGTAGAGCTTTATTCTGTAATAATTCTAGATAATGTTTGTGTATAGACCTTTATATTGGATGAATAAACGAACAAACACACTTCAAAGAAACTATTTCGAAAGATTTTTATGCTTTAATAATAGGTTTTCCTATATTGCACAAATAACACACAATATCTTATCAATTGTGGAAAATTGTTCATTATTTTTTTTAATCATTGAGATAGGTAGATTCAAGTTCAAGATCTTATATGTTTTTATCTTCCTTATTGCTCTTTCAATATGAACTAACTTTTGACATATTCCTCGACAAACGAATCTCTTCAGCACTCAGCTGAAGCTTATTTTTAGTTGAAGCAGGAATAAACAATTTAACATTCCTGCTCAACAGCAAGTCGTCAATACGAAAACCTCTGTCTGCCAGAATGACATCACCTTCCTCGAGTAAGTTCAAAAACCCACTGCTTCCCTAAGCAGTGGTAGTGTCTTTCTGATACTCTTCCACCCCATGCTCTAGAAATAAAACAAATTACTCCAGATGGAGTTATACTTACAAGAAATTTCATAGTATTATGATGTTTATAGTTGGAATAGGTTTGTGCTCTTGCTGTAAAACTATGTGGTTTCTCTATAAAAATCTCACGACAGTCAATAATGCACCTTACATTTTCACGAGAAACATCTTTGAATGACTGGGGCAAATTCTTAAAGCGGATCTTCCGTGATGGCTATATAATCAATTTTCTCAAATTGACAGACAAAACGTCTATCCATGAGTGGAAAACTGTACTAACAGTTCCCACCCCTGTATGGAAGCGGAAGGCTAAATCTTCATTTAGCAGCCCAAGTCGTAATTTCATTAATAAAAGCTGCTCACGCGGTTGTAAAGCAACTATTTTCGGTTGCCACACAGATAAAATTAAAGTTAAAAGTGCATTAAAAACTGCAACATTGTTTAACCCAGTATAAAACTTATATCTGTCTGGGCTATGGTTAGTCACATCTTCAAATTTTCTTGTTAGTAGACTTTTTTCACGGAGGAGGATATTTTCTTTTTCGAGGATTTGTGCTTTTTTCTGTAAGTATTCCATATCATCAAGTGTTATGCTTGTTTGGGATGTTGCATCCACTAAAATTTTGTTTGTATTGGTAGAAACAGGCAAGGAGCTGACATCGGGAGATTCATCTTCTGACATCTGCCTTGATACTAAAGAAATAAATGTCTATAAGTAAAATAAAGTGAATTCTAGCATAAAAACTAATAATAAAAAAGATTTTTATATTAAACAACTGGATTAAAAAAATTCAACCGAAAAAAATTTTCTTATTTACTGTTAAGAAAAATTTTATATAATAAAAATTCAAATTTTTAATGTAAAACACAAATCTCTTATTCTATATTTTTAAAAAAAAACCTTTAAGTTAACATTAAAGCTCTAAAATTAGTATGCATAAACAACTCTTATATGTTTTAGCATTTTTTGCTTCCTACAACATCTTAAATCTTATTGTGTATTTTTTTTTAATTAATACAATTGTAAATTAATATATTTACTTTTTGATTTACACCATAGTAAGATGATAATAAATGTAGAATGTGATGAAACCTATTTATTCTATTGCACAACTTCCAAATTAAATGTAACACATTAATTTTTGAATAGCTTCTGGTTCCAAGAGTTCAATATTAATACACTCAAATATTTAAATAAAATATGATTTTCTAATGTTTTTGCGCATTACTTAAAAGACGATGTTGGATTTCATAATAATTGTAAAAAGATTATTCGCAACATAAATTGTTATAAGTTGAGCATAAATCGCAGCTAGGCCACAAGCTTTGTTCCTTAAGTGATAACAAGCATGTCCTAATATGCGAAAATCGGTTTATAACCATCAAGTGTGGGAAACAATATTAAATATACTCTCCACTGCTCACTCGGGTTTTTTTTTCTATGGACAGCCTGCATATTCATATTGCATTTTCCAGAAAAGCAATAAATGTAAGCAACATTTAATAATGAAATGAATATACGTATTTAATAACATAAGAATAAATATAATATTCCTTTGAGAACATTCCTTTTTAAAGCTATCCTTCTAAACACACCAGGCCATTACTTAAACTATTTCAAATACATATAGACATGAAAAAAAATTTACATCCACTTTTTTGGATATTAGTGATAAATAATATATTTACAAAAAGAAACATTTTATGTTATAAAAATTACCGTTGTCAACACTTGAAGTACCATTCTCTGGATCAAGTTTGGCACGGTTTTTACTTCGTTCATAGCGTTTCAGCTTTTTTTCTCCTTCACTAGCAGCTTCTGGATGAAATGTAAATATAGACGGCACATAATCAGGATGTTGGAGATCATTTGATGGTTTCCCTAAAAAGAAGTGTTACTATAATTATTTTTATAATTTCATTTGGAAAAGAATATCTACATTCAAATTAAAGAGTTTGATTTTTCTTTATAATGGTTTTATAATGTTATGTTTAAAGTTGGGACGAAAAAAAGTTGTGGAAAGTTGTTTACAAAATTTAACATATTTTGTTAACAAAGATTGCATAGGAAAATATATTCAACAACACAACAATTAATGTAGCAAAAAGAAAGCTAACTTGTAGCAAATTATAGAAAAAAATTTTTATCGGTGTTAGAGTTATAAAAAAACAAGGTTCAACAGTAAAAAAATGCATAAAAAAAACAAATAGTTAACTAAATTTTTAATTAGTAAATAATTTATCTTCTTTTATTTTTATGACTACTGGAATTATTTAGCAACTGATTACACAACTTTAAACCAACTGAAATTATTCAAAATAATTACTTTTAAAAAAAATGAATAAATTTAAGACTGTTCGACAAAACCGACTTACCAATATTAACTATAAATTCAAAGCAATTCATTTAATACTTGGTATAAATATAAAGAATTATTCAAATAAACAGAAATAATTGTTGAAAGAAAAAGCAATTTAATTTTTGGACAATTGGAACTTCAAGAAAAAAAATATATAATTTATTATTGATATGAAATTGTTTAAAAATTATGATACTTGCTACATAGATTAACACTCCATAGTTAACTAATTTCTAATACAATAAATTCATATAATTGATCTGTGCTATTTACCGGAGAACCGCCTCCTCGATGCGATACTTGTAACGTTTCACTTTCAATTCATCATATTTTTATCGCTTGCCCATGTTTTAACCAACAACGCCTTACCTTCTTTGGAAGCACGATTTTATATATAAAAGACTTCTTAGATAAAAATCACCATCCTAACATCTTTGCATTTTTACGCGCTATTGGAATTTTAAGTTGTATATAATTGTTTTATACTATTTAGTGTTTTAGTAAATTTACCGATTTATTGATTTGCATTTGATTAGTAAATTTACCGTTTTATTGACATGCAGTTTTATTGAATTTAATGTATGTAACTTTACAACATTGTTTTAGAATTTTCACTATATCTGATTTTATACGTGTGCTTTACTTAACCTCTTAATCTGTTTTAAAACCGTGTGTTTGGCGCAGTATGTCCGTTTTTGGACCTTGTGCCACTAAACCCCACATTCAATCAATCTGTGCTATTTACATTATACTAAACTGATACCTATGACAGAGGAGTTGCAATGTAGAAATTTTTAAGCGATGCAGAATTCAATAATCAGTTCGAGCTTGAAAATTGATGAAACACTAATGTCTGAACATAAAATACACAATGAGAAAGAAAAGCAAAAATAAGCTATCGCTCATTTTCTTACGAACACATCTCTGATAAATTTTTTCTCATAATTATCAAACAGCTTTCTCATGATGGACAAATACTGGTCTATTTTCCTAAAATATCGAGTAAATTTACATATATTACGATTATACAATAGTAAAAGATAAAATGTTCTCTCACCTGTGACAAAATGGGCATTGCATATCAAACTATTTTTGTTTGGAGTCCAATTTTCTCTTTTCATGGAATTACATCATGCAGTTCGACGAACAGGATCATTTGGGAAGCGAAACATTTTGACTGTAGATAGAAGATTAGTATTTCTTCTCATACTACTACCTATAGCTGAGCAACCACCACCACTTTTTCTATTATTCATCACGTTTATTATAACTTTTATGTATCCTTCTTATATATGAATTTTTTGTATTAAAACTTAATGTTTGTTTACGATGATTGAATCAGCCTAGTAGAAACATTAAAAAGGAAATAAGTTCCGGTTGCACCGGAAGTTCATGCGGACCATCACGTCTGCACACAGATAAGGTGAATAAACTTTTCGAAACCCAAAGTCGATTTGGGGAATAGTTCTTTACTAAGCTAATGGGAAATGTGCAACCATGAAGTTGATTCCTCAAACATTTTAATAAATGAGGAGGATCAAGTAGGACATAGATTTTTCAGTCATTGAAAAGAAAATACGGTTTGTTCTCAGTGACTTTTAGTAATTCAACCTCAAGATTAGTGTTATTTGATCCTTGGTCACACACAGTTGCTATTGGCAAAAAACCAAAGTTTTTATAACTTTTCCACTGCCATATGCAAAAGTTCTTTGAGAATTGTAGAAGGTGCTGTGTAAATATTCCAACAACCTGTTCCCACTTTTCACTCAACCCCTCTCCTCATAAAAGTGAGAGCGTGTATAGCTATTTGCTGAGAATTTATGTGTCCATAACTTTCATAGCCAATTACGGTATCAGACTATTCGTTATAAGTTGACGCTTCATTTCATCCGAAGAAATAATGCACAGTCTATCGGATTCATTCATTTTTTATCCAACCAGTTTTAAGGCATTGAAAACTGGTTCAATGAAACCAGGTTGTAGGATAATTCCCTTTAAATTATTTTTAATAGTTCTTTTCAAAGGTAGAAAAAATGTCGTCTTAATGCCGAATACACCAATTACAACTGCATTGCCAGATTTTTATCTTGTATGTTGTACCGACAACCATGGGCAGACACACTCGAAAACTTTATTTGTGATGAAATGAAGTTATAAAGTACTGGTGTCACTAGGTACTTCAATTCCTTGAACATACTTAGAATCTTATTTTTCCCAATTTGTAACGATGATAGCAGTTTGCGGCAGAAGTAAAGTTTGCCTTATACAATCCTTAGTTCGGCTGCATCTTTCATCTTCATCATCCATCTTTGAAGCAGAGACGGTGTGAGCTCGAGAATGCTGGATGTCTTTCCTCTTTGTCGCACGGCTCCTCTTCATATACTCTCTGGGGGCGGATCGATGATCCTTGCTGAGAGCTCTTCTAGTTTCAGTGTGGTTATAACAGAACCGAAACTGTTTTCAGTCTCTACATTTCGTCAATTTTATATCTACGAATTAAACAAGGAATGAATAGCTTTTCTCATTGTCAAAGTATTACTCTAGTATTGAATTCTTTTTTTATTGCATTAATTCATCCTTAAACATGCCTTTGTATGAAATATTACCCTCTGGGTCTAAAACTAGGCTTATCTTCATTAATGTGATTTTGAGAATCTTATGCCAATGGTCTTCTTATATTTTCTAAGTCTTTCTGCTTCCCTACGCCGCCTGCCTCGTCTAACTGACTTGACAGAGCTGACATAGAACGCAGAAGATGAGGTAGATCTTCTGCGTGGTATAACTACAGCAGGAGCTTGTGCAACACCAAGAGCTACACAATGAGAAACACCAGGAACTTGCGCGCATCATCAGGAAGTGGAAAGAAATAGAAATTTAATAACAAATGTTTTTTCCAATAAATATTCAAAGTTGAATTTTTATAAGTAGTATTAAACTTCATTTGAGTATTTCTTTTAAATACATATTTTTTTTAAATATTATTATCCTATCATGTATGTTTTTTTTAACTATCTACAATGAACACCACAGAGTGTGGAATATGCATGATTTCCCCTATAAAAAAATCAGCTGTTGTTGTAAACTAAACATTTTCTTACACATTCCTCAAATGAACAGTCAGGATTATTGTAAAATATTTCAAGGATTTCTTCACAACTTAGCTTATTCAATATTTTACTTTAACAACGTGGATATTTTAGCAAACTTTCAGAAGATTTGAAAGGAATTTAAAAAAAATCAAGAAAAGATAGAAAGAAAACTAAATGCACAATTTTTTCATATAGTTTGTATTAGAGCTACAAATGTTTGTTTAAAATTAAGTCACTCTTGCAACTATTGTTTTTAAAGTGATGAAATTTTTTTTTTATTTTTTGCCAGTCTATATGCTGCGTCAAAAACATGCAACAAAAGATTTAAAATTCTGTAAACATCTTAGCACTTTCTGATCCAAAAATGCAAATATAACTTACATTTCATATATAATTTTTCTATTAAGTTTGTAGAAATCAAAACTGTTTCTATCCAATGAAACTTCGAAAGATAACTAAATAAAACTTTATCACCATTAACAAAATATATTTTATTTTTTCAAATAAAGACATTTCTTTCTACCTTTGCCCCAGGTTACTATCAATTATGCATTTAAAATTTAGGAAAATGGGAAATATGCACATGCTGCATAGTAACTTTTACACAAGACACGAAGTTGCTGATCTCAGATTTGAACATTTTAATGTTTTTTTAATACTAAAAAAAAAAATGAAAGCATACAAATTTTTAAAAATAATTAAATATGTATGTTTTGAAAATCTGTAAACTACTACCAAAATACATAAGTCACAAAAAATTTTTTATTAATAATTGAAACAGCATAAAATTATCAGATAGAATTAAGTGATGTTATTGTCAATACATGAAATGCATCAAGTAAATATACCAAATTGTTTACATTGGATGATCTGGCTCAGAATCTAATCCAATTGCTCGCCATTGAAATGGCAGTGAGCCATTATTCAAAAATGCTCTGCATAATTGCTCCTTCCACGCTCTGCAACTTGCTTGTAATTATTTGAACCCTATTGTTTAATTGATTGTAGTGCAATCACTTCATCCCGCCAGGTTCCAGATATCAACTGCCCTGCGTTGAAATCTTCACGGTCCACAGGTGTTTTCTTAAGGTATGTAGGGGATTTAACTCTCAACCAATTGTGCAAGGCACAGGTCGCTTTAACAATTTTGTCAACTGTATTCATCTGAACGTCAATTGGTCTTACAAAGATCCGAAATCTGTTGGCTAAAATTCCGAATGCATTTTCTACAACTCTTCGGGCTCGTGATAATCTATGGTTAAAAATTCTTTCCCTTAGTGTTAAAGAAGCCCTAGAGTAGGGTTTCATTATATTTGTCCTTAAAGGAAAAGCGTCATCTGCAACAATTACTGAGCCGGAGGGCATTTTCTGCTTTCTAAAGCTGTATTCATGTCTGAATTCATAAATATTGAACTGTCATTTGCTCTCCCGTTGGCTCCAACATTTATATATTTGAAACAATAATCCGCATCTACGAGAGCAAACAGAACAATATTAAAAGTTCCTTTATAGTTGTGAAATTCGGCTACTGTGTTTGCCGGCCTCTTTATTAGAATATGTTTGCCATCTATTGCACCACAACACTTGGGAAAATTCTATGGCCATTGTGAATCGTTTTGCCACAGCAGAACATTCCTCCTCAGTGTTTGGAACCTGGGAGATAATGCAACATTAAAGGCCTGTGAAGAATAGTTCACTCTTGGACATTTTGAATAACTACTTAACTCTGATTCATCGAAATTAATAAGTGCAAACTTAAGTAAAGACATTATACTAGCTTTGTAATTATATCACCATGAACAATTTCAAGTTTTGCAAAATGGACTGTAAAACAGCACAATTAAAGCTTAAGAAAACCAATCTGATTATATATTTTAAATACATAAGTATTTTATTATTTTGATTTAGTTATATTAAAATATTTGAATATCAAATAATTTCTAAAATTTATTTATTCTCAAAATACTTCTAGATACTTATTACTTTAACCCATTATAACAGTAAAAAATTTTCTAAATTAGAAAAACATAAAAAAATTGGTATATTTATTTATACCATGCAGATATTTATAATTAATTTATCAAATGTTAAATAAATAATCCTAAGATACTGATGAAACTTAATAATTATAAACTTGTGCTACCACTTTTAAATAATTTTAAAAAAGTATTTCAAAATTATTTCTCCATTATGCACTCACCAAATACAAATGCGAAGGCACCAAATGGATTTTTAACTTCCAAATTAATTCTTTTAAAAAAATGGTGGTTTGCCTGGAGAAATATACTATTTGAGTTAGAAGTTTCTTTGCATTTTTTTACTAGTAGGCTGCTGCAAGAAGTTGCCAAGACATGGTTATAATTGTGTCGCAGGTCATGATACGAATAAAACTAGGTGCAGATGGAATAAACAGCATTTTCAAATTAAATATATTTTAAAATCAAAATTTATGTCAAAGATAACTAGAGATACAAAAAAAATTAATAATAATTGCATACTTCAAAATTATTTTTCAAAGAATTGTATACTGCATCTTACACTTCGGGTAGAAATATAGCTGAAATATAGAGAATAGCAGACTGAGGTACACGAAACAACAAAGCAAGAGATCTAAAACTGTCCCCAGAAGCCAAGTATCTAAGCGTGATTTCCAGTTTTAGTCAAAGTAGTCTTTGTTCATCCTCAAGACATTTTGATACTCCAGGGGATCTTCTGCAGCTAGCTCCCAATTTACTTCTCTTATCAATCCAATTTCTTACCCACTTTCTTTTCTTACCCTAAAATAAAATTATAAATATAGATTGATCATAAACAGAATGATGCTATGCAATCTTGATATGTTATGTAAGCAACCACAGGTTATCAAAATTCTTATTTATTCCTCAAATGTCTCAGGCATAATAATCTAAATTATAGTAAATTATTTTAATCCTTTATTTCATCATAAAATACGAATCTCTTTAAATATAAATTTATCTAATAAAGTGCCCACAACAAAAAACTATTTTAAAATATCCCTTAATTAATAAATACCTCTTAAGTCTATTTTTCAAATAAAAAACTGCATAAAAATATGTAGAATATTAAAAAGAAATATTTGACCTTCCAAAAAAAATTTGTCTATAGCAACTTGCCTCGTCAGAATTTCCTCTGTGTTCTATTAAAAGTTAA